CACTTTACCACCTCCAGTTTATACTCAGAAATGGACCCTGGGAGCAGATAGTACTTTAGAGGACATCCTGAAAATGATCCCCTTGGTCTTTTAGACACAAGAAAGAGGCAGAAGCTTTACTGGCTGCCATGCAAGCTCGTAAATCCCAGAATTCCTAAGGCTCACCTGTTAACTCCTACAGATGTGGCCAGAGCAGTTATCTGTCTCATAAAGTTTAACTGCTCCCATACGAGGTTGAATTTCTTTCACCAGGGTGAGACAGCTTGGGGTACAATGTTGTTAGCATGTTTTACTTCCTGTTTCTGAGATGTTTGGCACTAGATTCTTTCTTTGGATAATACACGTTTGACCCATGCTACTTAAGCTTGTAAAGCTTGTTTATTGTTTCGCCTAGAGGCCATCAAGGCTCCAAACGGGCAGGCAGCTGGAGCCTCAGATGATGGCTCCCTTTTGCTGGGGATCCTTGGGTAAACATCTGGGAGGAATCTTACTGCCATTTCCTCAAATAACATTCTCTTTCAGCAGGAAGTAACTAAGATTGGTCATCATCCATTTTCTAACGGCAGTTAGATGTGCCTCTTCAAAGTGGGGAAATGATACAGAATGGCTGGGCCCCCAGCTAAACTCCACCTTCATGCCTGGAACCTTGGCCTAAATGAAAACAGCTGCCCCACTTTTCAACCCAAATGATTGCCCTTTTGGCCTGCCATGCCCACTGTCTTGTGCCCATGAAAACCAGACTTCCGCTGGCAGAGCAACACAAGCAGTTTTTGCAAGCAGTCAGGGATGCCAGCTGCTGAGCGTTGGGGATGCAAGTGGCTGAGTGTTGAAGACTACAAATAGACACTAACTTCAGATAGTGCAGCTTCAGAGGAGAGCCTGGCCAGAGATGGCTGGGCTTCAGGGAAAGATCACCTTCTTCCCACAGCATCCCATTTCCAACTCCCCATTCCACTGGGAGCCACATCCGTTGCCCAGTAAAATCCTCTGCATACACTACCCTTCAATCCATTCCTGTGACCACCTGGATGCCGAACAAGAACCTGGGTGTCAGAAAGGGCAGGTGCAGAAGGCTGTCACCCTGACCGTTTGCTGGGCTGTTACCACTTAGCCATCCATGGACTGCAGGCTGAGTGAAATGAGCACCATTCCAGTTTCTGCCCATGAGGGGTCAAGGGAAAAATCCAATCTCATTTTTTAAAATTAATGTATCATAATTGTACATTTTTTTGTGAGGAAGAGCCTCACCCTTCTGCTCAGGCTAAAGTGCAGTGGCACAATCATAGCTCACTGCAGCCTTGATCTTTTAGTCTTAAGCGACCCTCCTGCCCAGCCTCATCAGCTGGGACTACAGTTGTGCACCACCATGCCTGGCTGTGTACATGTTTTGGGGGTGTGGGCAATCTTTTGAAACATGCATAAAATGTGTAATGATCCAATCAGGAAATTTGGGGTATCAATCACCTCAAACGTTCATATTTTCTTAGTGTTTGGAGCATTACAATTCTTTTCTCGCTATTTTGAAACAAAACAAGCCATTGTTTTGCTTTCATTTTCACTTTTGACACAGGGTCTCACTGTGTCATAGGCGGGACAAATCACTGTTAACTATAATTTCCCTATCGTACTTTCAAATACTAGAACTTATTCCTTCTATCCAATGGTATTTATGTGCCTCTCCACTGACTTCTCTTGATTTATGACATTCAATATAAGTGCAACATAAGAAATGTATCGCTGTTTAAAATTAGATGCATACTGACATGCGAATCTTCAGAAATGGATGAGGGATTAGGAGTCCAAAGAGATTGGAAAAGATTTCACGCTTATGAAATAAAATAGTAAGAGCAACTTTTTTTTTTTTGAGACAGAATCTTGCTCTTTTGCCCAGGCTGGAGTGCAGTGGCATGATCTCAGCTCACTGCAGCCTCTGCCTCCCGGGTTCCAGCGATTCTCCTGCCTCAGCCTCCTGGGTAGCTGGGATTACAGATGCATGCCACCACACCTAATTTTTTTATTTTCAATAGAGACAGTGTTTCTCCATGTTGTCCAGTCTGGTCTTGAACTCTTGACCTCAGGTGATCCACCTGCCTCAGCCTCCCAAAGTGCTGGGATTACAGTCATGAGCCACCCCGCCCTGTCAAGAGCAACATTTTGAATTAAAAAAAAATTTCGATTTAGAGACAAGGTCTCACTATGTTGCCAAGGTTGGTCTTGAACTCCTAGACTCAAGCAATCTTCTCACATCAGCCTCCTAATGTTCTGGGATTACAGGCATGAGCCACTGCACCCAGTCGACTTTTTGTTAAGACAGGTTCTGTTCAAAGTAGATGATGATGGTTGAAATCAAAATAGCTTTTCACAGATTTTCTTGAAAATGCATCACCATATATAAGACAATTTCTCATGTGGACAAACCATCCATTTTACCCCCATGGGCTTTTCTTTTTCTTCATAATGTGAAAGCTGAAGCAACTACTTTAGAAACATGGATTTCAAAATTGTCTTCTTGTATGCAACCCATATGAAAATTTTAAGTTATGTCTGAATATTTTCACATATGACCTGTGCAAGGAATATGGAAAATGGTGGCCAGGCAGAGAAGGAATTCTGCCCCAAAGGAGTGGGTTCTTAGGTCACCCTTTACAGTGACACTTTAAACCACAACCCAAGATAAATAAATTCCAGCTGGAGAGGAATATGAAGTGGTTGTTTGGGAAAGACGGGTGAAGCCACCTTGAAATGTAAATAATGCGAGAAAATTGAAAATGACTGACTCCGTTTTGCTTTATAACCTCACAGGCTACATTTTTGTTGCTGTGGTTGTGTTGTTGTATTTGTTTTGCTTATTCTAGCAAGGTGCCCAAGAGAACAATGAGACCAATTTAGTTCGTAGTTCAACTTGGAGTCAAGGGAAACTGAACCCTGCCTTGTTCAGAGATGAAAGCTGCATGCAGATGACAAGGTTAGGATTATAGTAAGATCGAACTTTGGTAAAGAATACGTACTGTTAGGCTGGGCACAGTGGCTCATACCTGTAATCCCAGCACTCTAGGAGACTGAAACAGGAGGACTGCTTGAAGCCAGGAGTTAGAAGTTAGACAGGGCAATATAGCAAGACCCCATTTTTACCAAAAAAATTAAAAACTATTCACATATGGTGGCATGTGCTTGTGGTTCCAGCTACTCAGGAGGCTGAGGCGGGAGGATCATTTGAGCCCAGGAGGTTCAGGCTTCGGTGACCACGATTGTGCCACTGCAGTGCAGACCGGGTGACAGAGTGAACCCCCCACCAAAAAAAAGCGAGTCTTCAAAAGAACCCAGAGTAAATGAATTTACTTGATGCTGAGAGAGTGTTTCTTTTGGGATGCTAGCATTGTAAATGCAGCTGGCAAGTGTGGGTGTACAACGTGAGTGCTAAGAGTTTCAAGTGTGGATCTTGATTCTGCTGCCTGCTCTGAAGGGTGTGGAGGCCTGAGAAACAAATTGAAATTGCTCACCCGGCATGATTATAGTGAAATGTTCTCCCGACAGCTGCAAAATATGTGCTTAACACCAGTGTTTTCACCCAGGGTGTTTCTGTCCCCCGGGAGACACTGTACCATGGCTGGAGATATTTCTGGTCATCACAACTGGGGAGAAGGTGGTGGTCACTAGCTGCTTCTAGGGAGTGGAGCCCAGGGACGGTTTTCAACATTCTACAATGTACAGGACTGCCCCTACAATAAAGGATCATCCTCCTCAAATGTCAGTAGTAGGGTAGTGATGTAACCATGCCTCATCCCAGAACACAAAAAGGCAGATTGAAGTTCAGGCAACCTGGGAGTTCCAATCTGGATCCTGGGATCCTGGTTTTACCTCCTTGATGTTCAACTTGTGCAAAAAGTAACTGCGTGAGTGTTGACAGCCTCCCCTCAAGAGCAACATAACCTAGTAGGCGTGGCCTGGACTGGTAGGTGCTCCTAAGCCCATCGAGCCACGCTGTGTTCTTTCTCATGTGTTAAACTCATGAAGCATGTGTGCAGCTGCAGATTACTTGGCAAGCAGGAGTCTCAAACCAAAACTCTGCAGTGGTCAGGCTGTAGAGGCTATAAATGCATTAGGATGACGATTTTAGTGATTCAGCCTGTAATTTCAGCACTTTGAGAGAGTGAGGTGGGAGGCTCACCTGAGGTCAGGAGTTCAAGACCAGCTTGGCCAACATAGTGAAATCCTGCCTCTACTAAAAGTACAAAAATTATCAGGGCATGGTGGTGCGTGCCTGTAGTCCCAGCTACTTGGGAAGCTGAGGCAGGAAAATTGCTTGAACCTTGGAGGCAGAGGTTGCAGTGAGCTGAGATGGCATCACTGCATTCCAGTTTGGTTAACAGAGCGAGACTCAGTTTCAAAAAAAAAAAAAAGAGAGAGAAGCCACAGACTGGGAGAAAATATTGTCAAATCAATAGTGAAACTTAATAATGAGAAAACAAACAGACTGGGTATGGTGGCTCACGCCTAGAATCCCAATGCTTTGGGAGGCTGAGATGGGAGGATCACTCAGCTCTGGAGCTGGAGGCCAGCCTGGGCAATATAGTGTGACCCCATGAATATTTTTGTAATTCAGCATCTAGAAGTGCGCACACAGCTCTTCTTTTAAAAAAAAAAAAAAAGTCCTTGAAGTGATTCATTTTACATCTAATGTTGCCTGCAAGGTATGCTCTGCCTCAATAAGAAAAAAGAAATGCGATCCCTGGCAAATAGATGAGCAAACACATTGGTGCGTAGAGCTAAAACGTGGTGACAGGGATAAGAGCTACACAGTCTAGCGGCGGTGTACACACAGCAACGCTTGCCGCTAAGTGCGCACAGCCACCGCTCCAACTGTAACCTGAATTGTTTTCTATCTTGTTTTTATGTTTGTGAAAAATAGCAAAAGGAAAAAAAAAAAAAAGGCATGAAATGTAAGAGCTATGGATTGCTTGTTCAAGATGAATTTTCAAGAGAACCACTTTTCCATTTTGGAAAATGCACTCTGTCTACATCAAAAGCCAGAAGGGATTCCACCTTCCTGCAGTTGAAAACTGTGTGTTCAGCATCAGATGTCTGGGCTCCTTCCGTGAGTGTGAGGTTCTGCAAATAAAACAGAAGGTCTTTTGTGGACGCCTGAAAGAGCCAGCAGTGCATTCCTTGGGAACTTGCCTGATCTGTTTCTGGGACAACCTAACTTGGTTTCTGCGGAATTCCTGTTTTCGCTTTTCAGAGTGAATCAGCTACGCACACGCCTGAGCCAGCCGTTCAGTGCAGCCGAGAGAGCCAGTGCGTGTCTGCTTTCGCAAGCAGAAAGGATTTCTTCTGAGGAGCAGCCTCCCTGCTAAATCCAGCTGCTCTCGCCCTGATGGAACTGCATTTCAGGTAACTGGACTTCCTTGGGCTTCTTCTCACAGGCCGGCTTTTGCACGTGCAGAGACGCTCCAGGGCTTATTCTCAACCGAACACTCTTTTGTGCCAAACTGCATCTTTTCAAACAAGTCCCTATCAATGTTTGAAAAGCAATTTCCTTTCAAAAAAACAATAATAATAATCAGTGAAAATATCAAGTACAGATTTTACGTGGAGATTTCCAAAGGTAACGCGTAAGAAAAATCAGTGAGGGAAGATGCACCAAATGGCAGACGCTACATCCACACCAGATTCTGACCTTAGAGATGCTGAACATTCAGGAGATCCTGGGGATGAAAAGCGAAATTGGGCTTGGGAACAGGGCCCAGGCAAAGTGGTGAAGACAGGCTGGCTGCCCCGGACTAGGGCAGGAAAGGAGGGCTGTGGTTCCTGCTCCCTGGAAGAGAATTGAAGGCTAAATTGTCAGTCTCGGTTGGGTGCTTCCTCGTCTTTTTCTTTTATCTTTCTTTTTATCTATTGCATTATATTTTATTGTATTCTACATTTTATTATTTTGTTTTATTTTAAATTGAGACAGGATCTTGCCATGTTGCCCAGGCAGGTCTCAAACTCCTGGCCTCAAGTGATCCTCCCATCTCGGCCTCCTAAAGTGTTGGGATTACAAGTGTGAGCCACTGTACCCAGCCTCTTGAATCTTTCTAGATGTCTTGTATCTTTAGAATAAAAAATAGAAACTTTCATTCAGTAGCAAAAACTCAATCTGAAGCAAAATGTATAACATTCGAAGGGTTAAAGTGCAGAGTTCTTTAGAAAAGAAAACTCTGCTTTTATTGTGTCGCTAAATACATAAATACATCTCTTCAGAGGTAGGCCACAGACTTGATGTCATAAGACTTTTCAACCATGATTGAAGCTCCTATATTTAGATACCAATATAACCAGCCACATAAACACAACCAGTCATGTTCCCAGGCAAGTCAGAAGTACCTCATAATATGCTTTTTCCTTGAAAAATCATGTACACATATATATGTGTTTTATATGTATATATGTGCTATACATACATATATAAACATTTTTCTTGAAAAGAGTACATATATTAATATATGTATAGCTTTACATGTTGTATATGCATGCATATACATTAGGTATACATGTGTGTTTGTTATATATACATATGTTATATACATGCATGTATGTATATACACTATATACATGTACATATGAATGTATATAAACATACATATATGAACACAAACGTGTACGCATATATGTACGTTTTTATATGTTATATATTTATATTTATATGTGCAAATTATAACATGTATTTATGTGTATATGTGTACATATATGCATGTTTTATATATCTATATATATGTGCATATATATTTAAAAGTATATATTATTTTTATAAAGAAAAACGTGTATTTGAATTTAAAAATTATGATTGATTATATATTTACATACTTTATTACTATTATTTTATTTTCTAGAGATAGGCTCTCACTTTGTTGTTGAGACTGATCTTGAACCCATGTGCTTAAGCGATCCTCCAGCCTCAGCCTCCCAAAGTGCTGCATTATAGATGTGAGCCACTGCACCCAGCCTTATTTACACATTTTATGTACAAAAGTTATACTATATTATATATAATAAATATGAATATATAAATTAAAATGTAAATGAAAATATTCCTTTCCACCTCCTACAAGGAAATAATTTAAGATTTGTTGCCAAGAATCACAAAGTAAAAGCAATTACCATTAGGGCACACACCTGCGGCAGGAAACGAATTCACTTCTGATGCCCTCGTAATACTCCTTTTGAGATACGCCATCAAAACTGTCTACTTGTAAAAACGAGTCAGGCCAGAGTGAGCCACGGTTTCTGCTCTTCATCCCAGAAGTAGGGCGGTTTCCACACCCGCGTGAGGAGGAGGCGAGATCAGGTAGGCTCCGTGACCTCCCACAGACCCAGCATGTGGCTGAGTTTGAAGTTGTGAAGAGACAGCAGGTGGAACTAACTGTAGGAAACCTCCTCCTTGCAGGGAGGGTGGTTGTATGCGAGGGACCATTGTGTGGGCTCCATTCCATGCAGTAACTTCCGGCAGCGCTCATGCAGGGCCTCACAGGCTGCTGCCGCCTTCTTGCTCTTTTCTCTTCTCTCTCCCTCTGTCGCCCAGGCTGGAGCGCAGTGGCGCGATCTCGGCTCACTGCAACCTCCGCCTCCCGGGTTCAAGCGATTCTCCTACCTCAGTCTGCCAAGTAGCTGGGATTACAGGCATGTGCCACCACAACCAGCTAATTTTTGTGTTTTTAGTAGAGACGGGGTTTCGCCATGTTGGCCAGGCTGGTCTCAAACTCCTGACCTCAGGTGATCTGCTCCCCTCGGCCTCCCAAAGTGCTGGGATTGCAGGCATGAGCCACTGAGCCCAACATCTTTTCCATTTTTTAAAATTAAGCCGTGCTTGAAAATAATCCTTTTTTAAACTATTTTTCTTATTTAAATTTTTTTCTTTTTATCTTATTTTTATCTTATTATTATTGAGACAGAGCCTTACTCCCTTGACCAGGCTGGAGTGCAATGGTGTGATCTTGCCTCACTGCAACCTCTGACTCCCAGGTTCAAGCGATTCTCCTGCCTCAGTCCCCCGAGTAGCTGGGATTACAGGCATGCGGCACCACGCCCAGCTAACTTTTGTATTTTTAGCAGATACAGGGTTTCAGCATGTTGGCCAGGCTGGTCTCGAGCTCCTGGGCTCAAGTGATCCGCGCACCTCATCCTCCCTAAGTGCTGGGATTATAGGCGTGAGGCGCCGTGCCTGGCCTTTTTACTTCTTTTTGTTGTTAGTTTACTTAAATTTCTTTTTCTTTTTTATCTTATTTTTCTTATTTCTTATTTACTTCATTTACCACTGAACAGATAACTTCTTTAAAAAAATTTTTTTTGAGACAGGGTCTTGCTCTGTCACTCAGGCTGGAGTGAAACTGCAGCTTCAACCTCCCAGGCTCAAATAATCCTCCCACCTCAGCCTCCCGTGGGAGGCACATACCACCATGCCTGGCTGATTGTTTAATTATTTGTAGAGACAGTGTCTTGCTATGATGGCGGGGCTGGTCTGGAAGTCTTGGGCTCAAGCAGTCCTCCTGCCTCAACCTCCCCAAGTGCTAGGATTACAGGCATGAGCGACAATGACCAGCCTAATTTTTTTTTATTTTTGTGGAGACAGCATCTCGCTTTGCTGCCTAGGCTGCTCTGAAACTCCTGGCCTCAAACAATCTTCCTGCCTCGGCCTCCCAAAGCGCTGGGATTACAGGCATGAGCCACCATGCCAGTCTGGATATGAGCATATTATAGCAAGCACCCTGTGTAGAACAGCATAGGCAATCACTTAAAAACCTAAGGAGACTGGCAGAGCTCGGTGGCTCACGCCTGTAATCCCAGGACCTCGGGAGGCCGAGGTTGGCAGATCGCTTGAGCTCAGGACTTCGAGACCAGCCTGGGCAACATGAAACTCCGTCTCTACAAAAAATAAAAAAGAAAAAAAAACCTAAGGCGACTCACCACTGGTTTGGTGGATGTAGGCGTGGCTTTGAGATCCCCCATGCTGGGATGTGGGGGGAGCCTGTGCTCCCGCTGTCTGCCCTAACTCTGATCTCCTTCTGACTCGGGAAAAACAAACAGAGCCAATCATTCCCGGCCCAAAGCCTTGTGCGAGCGCTCTCCGCCTTCACGAGCTTGCTTCCTTTGGGAGAAGCCTTCCTGTTCGTGCTCGGGGATTCAGGAGGGGAGCCAGGAGCAGAGGTGGATCCTGTGATGTTCATTTGTGCTGGAATTAGACTCCGTGCCCAGGCATGAAGGTATTGTGGTGAACAGAGTTTCCCATTCCCTTTTCTGTCTCGGAATATTGCCCAGTTTGTTTTTATAAAGCAGAAAAGTGCCCGTGACTTACAGGCCTAGGAATGTAGCTCTTTCCTGGAGAAGGGGGATCTGTTTTCTAATCTGCAGGAGAGGCTGTGGGCCCCGCACTCTGGGTCACCTCAGTGTCACAGTTTCCAAAATTAAACTCATTCAATGCTTTTGTCACCATGTCTTTATTTCTCTTTTTCCTCCAAGAAAAAATTTCCTCCTTTTACTTATAAATACATATCATTGTGGGGGAAAGAAAAATTCGGCCTGCTCGGGGGCTCACTGTAATCCCAGCACTTTGGGAGGTCGAGGCAGGTGGATCGCTGGAGCCCAGGAGTTTGAGACCAGCCTGAGCAAGAGAGGAAACCCCACCTCTACTTAATAAAAAGCAAAACCAACCAAACAAAAAGCAATAGCCAGGCATGGTGACGTGTGCCTGTAGTTTCAGGTACCTGGGAGGCTGAGGTGGGAGGATCGCTGGAGCCCATGAATTTGAGGCTGCAGTGAGCGCCGGTTGCACCACTGCTCTCCAGCCTGGGTGACACAGCAAGACCTTATCTCAAA